CGAGAGGCCAAAAGCTATGACAGACCTCCGTCTCGATTTTTTCGAGACCCGAGGTCTGGGCTTCGAGGCGCTGGTCCCGAGCCGAGTTCTGGTAAGTCTCTGCCCCCCGGGGCCGCGTTCGGGCCCCGGGGCCCTCAGATGTCGACAGGCCCGGAGTGGAAGCCTGCACTGGATGGACCCCCGGCTCGGCATCGCTCGGGCGTGTGCATTTTTGTCTCGGCGAGGACCATCGGGGACCATCCTGGACCATCGAACAAACAGAAAAAAAAAAGCACGCACGACACCGGAACATGCACGGGAAGTGGACGTCCGAGCGACGGCAAGCCGGAGGGGTCTTGGGATCGATCTCGAGGGGACTACTTCCTGAACGGGGGCGACGGGCCAGAGTCCCGACTCATCAGGGCTGGGTGTGGTTCGGGCCTCAGGGGCCCGAACGGGAGTTGCCCCGGGCTGAAGTTATCCCTGATGTTTCGGGCGTCCAACTACTCGGCTTGTCAGGGGTAGCTCATGCTTCGGCCCGAGGGGGCCTGAGCCGGAGTTGCCCCCGACCAGGACGAGGACGAGGACGAGGACGAGGACGAGGACGAGGACGAGGACGAGGACGAGGACGACGACGACGACGAGGACGACGACGACGGCGACGGCGACGACGATGGCGGCGACGGCGACGACGACGACGACGACGATGACGTCCAGTAGCGGGCGGGGCTGGGGGAGGGCGATACGTACGCATGTGCCTCTCCCCTCCCCCCCCTTCGTCTTCCCTGCTGCTGCCGCCGCCCGCTCCCCCCTGCGTCCTCCCCGTGGTGGCTGGCCGTCGGCAGGCCTCCAGCTGCTGCAGTCGGGCTTGGACGCTAACGTCCTGCTTCTTTTCAGCACCGGGCCCCCAGCCCCTCCTCTGAGCAGAGGCGTGGGTTCTTCATCTCTTGGAGCCACGTGCGGGCGGTCCTGGGGCCCGGCGAGGCCACCCGGAGGCCGAAGCCGGGTCTCGGGGAGGGTCCTGTTCGGGACGGGCTGGGAAACAACTCCTGGGAGGCTGAATTCTGACTCGGCGCTGGCATTTCCCTTGCCGAGGAGGGGCCGAGCCTGGCTCCGTCTCGATTCATCCAGCGAAGTCCCGTGCAGCCCGGCTTCATCCACATCAAGCTGGCTGAACCCCAGGCTTAATCCGGCCTCTCGGGTCAACGAGCCGACGGAGGCTCCATCTTCCTCCTCGTCCTCCTCCTCCTCCTCCTCCTCCTCCTCCTCCCTCCTCCTTCTCCTCCTCCACCTCCTCCTCCTCCTCCTCCTCCTCCTCCTCTTTCTCAGCGCTCGCACGAGCGTCCCCGCCGCAAGGATCGCGCCACGGGCACTCCGCGCACGGACAAGTCTAACGGCTGGCGAGCGACCCTCGTTCGGGCGAAGAGAACTATGCACATGCACTGATCCTGGCAAGGCCCATCCTTGACCCAGGATCGGTGCATATGCCTTCCTGACCGAGGTAGGAGGGCGTATGCACCGATCCTGGGCTCAGGATGGGCCTGGCCAGAATCGGTGCATGTGCATAGTTCTTTTTCCTTTATTCGTCCGACGCTTCTGTGCGGTGCCATTTCGGCCGAAGAGCCCCCTGGCGGGCGAAAGCTTCCTGCGCCGGGCACGCAGCGCACATCAGCACACGTGCAGGCTTGATTGACCTCTCGATCGGGGGCGGGGGGCAGACGCGTATCGCCCTCGTCGTCGTCGTCGTCGTCGTCGTCGTCGTCGTCGTCGTCGTCGTCGTCGTCGTCGGCGTCGTCGTCGTCGTCTTCGTCGTCGTCGTCGTCGGCCAAAGCTGGCCGACGCAGCGCGCGCATGAACTGCTCGGGGGGCCCGAGGCGGGCAGAGCCCGAGGGCCGGCCGAGGAGGCGAGGCCGCCTCGGCGGGGGGAGCTCGCTGCGCAGGCGCCGCAGCAGCCCACAGCGCCCGGGAGGCTGCCCACAGCATCCCCGGCGGCCTCCCCGTCTCGAGCCCGGCGCTTCCGCCCAGCTCCGCGGCGTGTCTGGGCGGGCGCCTCTTCGCCCAGCGCAGTGCCGTCTGGCCAGGCGCTCTCGCCCCGCCCCGGGCTCACGGGGCCCTCCCATGGTGGGTCGGGCTCGCAACAGTGGCGTCGAGGCGTGGGGGTCCCCAGGGCTCTACCCGTCGGAGCTCCGGGGGTGCGGCGCCGTGCGCGGTCCGTGCGCGTCGTCGTGCCGACCCGCGGCGGCCCCCGACGTGGGCGTGCGGAGGTGGAGCTCCGGGGGAGGTCGAGCACGCAGCCCGGAGCAGGCGCATCCCGGGGAGCCGGGGCCTCGGGGCCCAGCTCGGGGCGCCCATTACCAGCCTGGAGCATCTCCCTCGCTGCGGCTACGTCGTCCTCGGGGGCGATGCTCGGGCTTTCCCGATGAGCGCTCGGGGGCGGAAAAGAGGGTGGTGATGACTAGGGGGGGTGGATATCATGGCGTGGGCCATGATAGTTCCCCAGATTTCATGGCGCCTCTTCTTGTTTCATTACGGCCCTGGCCCCCCCTGCCGGGCCGCGCACATGCCGCCGGTCATGATTTGCCCCCCCCCTCTTGGACACCCCCCTCTTGGCCGCTCCCGAAACGCCGCCTGGGGCCCGGAATCGGCTCATCGTTGGAGGATCTGGCGTTCCCGAGACGGACGAGCTTTTGCACCGGTAGTTCCCCCTCCTCTGGTCTGTTCTGATTGGTCCTTCCTTCGTGTTGGCTTCGTCTGTTCGTACGGTAGGTTTGTGTCGTATCGACCGGCGGCGACGCCGGTGACCCAGAATCGGTGGATGCTGAACGATCTGACGTTTGGGTAACGGCCGATCGTTCAATGTTGAATGGTCCCCGCGGTGTCGAGGACCAACGCCGAGGTCGACACAACGCGAGCCCGCCGTACCCAGAGATCTGATGTGCTGAGATGTTGTCACTTCGGGATCCGCCGAAAGTCCCGACCTCTTCCCCACGGCACGGCCGTCTCAGCATCCTGAGCAGATTTCTTCGCATACCCGGGGCCCAGCGAGGGCCTCTGGTAGGCCGAAGGCGACGAACTCCTTCGTAGTGTTGTCACAACGTTGGGTCTACGCCGAGCTCCTCGAACGACTGGGCGATCTGGGATGCACGTGCAGTCACGACGCTGGCGGCGGCGGCGGCGGCGGCGGCGGCGGCGGCGGCGGCGCGGCGGCGGCGGCGGCGGGCAGCGGCGGGCGGCGGCGGCGGCGGCGGCGGCAGCGGCGGCGGCGGCGGCGGCGGAGGCGGCGGCGGCGGCGGCGGATTGGCCCCAGTAGCTGCCCATCCAAAAACGACTGCTGAATATGCTGTACAGTGGGGGCGCGTGCCAAGAAACCAGCTGGATTTTGCCAGGGTGCCCTGTTTTTTTGTTCTGACTTCGACGGGCCCCCAATAGCCAAGATCCTGAAGATTCTCGATCCACGAATGTGGATTCTCACTCCGCAGATCGCGGACTTCAGGGTCGGGCTTCTTGCGGAGGCCTCTTGCGGCCGAGCCCCCAACAAGATCCTGACGATGGGCCCCATCAAGATCTTGACGATTCTCGATCGACAAATATGGGTTCTCACTCAACAGATCGCGGATTTCAGGGTCGGGTTTCTTGCGGAGGCCTCTTGCGGCCGAGCCCCCAACAAGATCTGGACGATGGGCCCCCAACAAGATCCTGACGATTCTCGATCGACAAATGTGGATTCTCACTCCACAGATCGCGGATTTCAGGGTCCGGTTTCTTGCGGAGGCCTCTTGCGGCCGAGCCCCCACTGCACCGCGCCGGGTCTGCTCGGGGGGCCCATTCGGAGCCGAGCCTCGCCGCGGCCGGAGAGGCCCGCCCGCCTCCCGAGGCAGCGCTCCTCCTGGTGGCACGGTGGCCATGCTCCGAGCGTCCCGCAGCGGCCGCCGCCCGCCGCCCGCCCGCGGCCCCCCGCCGCCCTCGCCCAAGCTGCGCTCGCCGAGCTCCAATGGCAGCGCTCGGGAGGGGGAGAGAGCTGCCTCCGCGGGGAAGGGGCGGGGGGGGGGGGGGAACCACGACCACGAACCGGTGGCACCTCCTCCTCCTCCTCCTCCCTCCTCCTCCCTCCTCCCTCCTCCTCCTCCTCCTCCTCCCTCCTCCTCCTCCTCCTCCTCCCTCCCTCCTCCTCCTCCTCCTCCCTCCTCCTCCTCCTCCTCGCCGAGGGGTCGGCGAGGGGCCCCCCCGGGCTGGCGAGTTCTCGCGTGCCCGGGCAGGGTGGGCTCTGTGGTGTCCCCCGCGGCGGCGGCGATCGCGGTGGGCGACGGGTTGGTCGACGCGTGGGGGCCGCCGGAGCCTCTCCCCGGCCCCGGCCGCCTTGTGCCTCTCGGGGGCGGAAAAGAGGGGGGTGATGACTACCCTGACCTTCCAGAGAGCTATTTTTTAGCACTGGAGACCTAGAAGCCTAAAAAACGGAGCGAAACAGCCTAAAACCAAGACGTAGAATAGCCTTGGGGTAGGTTTTTAAGTCGCGTGCTATTTTTTAGCCCTCTTGGAAGGTCAGGGTAGGGGGGGGGGGGATATCATGGCTCGGGCCATGATATCTCCCCAGATTTCATGGTGCCTCTTCTTGTTTCATTACGTCCCCGCATGGCCCCCCCGCTGGGCCGCGCACATGCCGCCGGTCATGATCTGCACCCCCCCCTCTTGGACACCCCCCTCTTTGCCGCTCCCGAGCCTCGAGGGTGGACGCGCTGGACAGCTGGATGCGCGTGTTCGACTTCTCGAAGTCCGCGGACGAGGACAGCATCACGGCCGGGGCCATCGACTATTCGCCGGGGCCCCAGCGAGAGACGACGAGGGAAGGTTGGGGGGGGGGCGACGAGGAAGGCGACGATGAGGTCGACGACGAGACGAAGGATGAGAAGGAGGAGGATTAGGAGGAGGAGGAGGAGGAGGGGAACCAGTGTACACACAAGAGTCTTCAACGATGTTGGAGTAAACCCTCCCTCCAAGCTCCCTCTTCAGAGGCCCCTACAACGGTTCATTTCCACAGAGGGAACTACTTCGTTGGAAGACACCTGTTTGAAGACCCTGAAGCATGCCAAACCATTGTTCTCGGGTCGGGATTCCAACGCCACGGATGAACCTGACTGTTACGTCTTGACGATCCTGAATCGTGCCAGAACGCTATTCCCTGAATCCTTCCAAAAAGCCATTTCTGGTACGTTGATGATGGGAATCCGTGAAACTCTTGAACATGTGCTAAGCGAATGTGCGCGGCGCTAAGGCGAGAGCCACATTTTGAGAAGGAGCCGTCCTCAATCCGGGAAGCTCTTGCAAATGTTTAAAAAGAATGTGCGCGGCGCTAAGGCGAGAGCCACATTTTGAAAACGACCCCCCTCCATCCGTGAAACTCTTTCAAACGTTTATAACGAATGGGCGCCGCGCTAAGGCGAGAGCCATATTTACAAAACCACCCGCTATCCATCCGCGAAGCTTTTGCAAGTGTTTAAAACGAATGTGCGCAGCGCTGAGGCGAGAGCCACATTTTGAAAACGACCCGCCCTCCATCCGTGAAACTCTTGCGAAGCTATATTACGAATGTGCGCGGCGCAGAGGCGAGAGCCACATTTTGAACACGACCCGCCCTCGGGAAGCTCTTGCAAATTTTTAAAGCGAATGTGCGCCGCGCTAAGGCGACTCACATGTTGAAAACTGTTGCAAGCTTCAGAGTCGTACAAGCTGTGACAGGTTCAGAGTCATACTTTGTGAGGAAGTCTCAGGCGAAACGCCCGACCCGCGCTAAAAACAGGCTTCGGAGTGCGACAGGGACAAGTTAGTTATAAGCAAAAGGAATGGAGGAGGAGGAGGAGGAGGAGGAGGAGGAGGAGGAGGAGGAGGAGGAGGAGAAGGGAGGAGGAGGAGGAGGAGGAGGACGAAGAGGAGGAGGAGGAGGAGGAGGAGGAGGAGGAGGAGGAGGCGGAGGGGGAGCAGGAGGAGGAGGAGGAGGAGGAGCAGGTAGGGGGGGAAGGATGGAGGGAGGAGGAAGAGAAGGAGAAGGGAGGACCAGAACGAGGAGGGAGGGCCTCAGAAGGAGTAGGAGTTGGAGGGTGCCGAGCCCGGCGATAGGCCGTCGATAGCAGCCCCGCATGTTCTTGGGCACGCTGGGGGGCCAAGGCCCCGCTTGGCGACGACGCCGACGACGACGACGACGACGACGACGACGCCGACGACGACGACGACGACGACGACGACGACGACGACGACGACGACGACGACGACGACGACGACGACGATGACGATGTCGACGACGACGACGACGACCACCGCCGGGCCGAGGCGCTCGGCCCCCCCCCCCGGGCCAGCTCCCACCCCCCTGTCCAGCACGTGATTGCTCACGATGCTTGCTCAAGGGAGTGGGGGCCCTTTGTGATGGACGCCGGCTTGTGGGCACATGCTGGACGCTTCGCGTGACCCCACCAGCCCATCGAGAAAAGATGTCCAGGCGAGTTGCCTTGAGCAGGGATGCGGAAGAGCATTCCGTGGACCAAGGGCTTGGGGAAGCCGTCAGACTCCAAGGGGGGGGGTGGATGGATGAGGAATCGGAGGAGAGGAGGGGGAGGTGGGGTGGAGGACTGAGGAGGGAAGAGGAGGAAAAGGCGGAAGAGGAGGAGGAGCAGGAGAAGAAGGAGGCGGAGGAGGAGGAGGAGGAGGAGGAGGAGGGCGAGCAGAAAGGCCAGAGGCTTCTCGGGGTCTCTTCGGATGTCTCTTGAGAGCTTCTTGGAGTCCTCCGGGGCGTCTTGGGGGCCCGTTGGCGGTCTCGGGGGCCTCTTGGAGCGTCTTGGGTGCCTTGGGGGAGCCCCTCGGGGCCTCTTTGGGATTTCTTGGGGGCCTCTTGCGGGCCTCTTGGGGCCTCTTGGGGCCTCCTGGGCGCCTCTTGGGGCGCTCTTGGGGCCTTATTGGGAGCCTTGGACCCTATTTTTCTGCGGCGCTTCTCAGAAGCAGATCGGTGCGCGAGGGTCCCCAGGCCTGAAACAAGGCAGGATGGCCCGGTGTGAATGGCAATGCGCCGCCATGCAGTCCCTTGCGGGATGCGAGGGGGTTGGGGTCTGGGGGTGGTCCACCCCCGCGGTGCGAGGAAACACCCTTTGTGTCGTCGGCGGCGAATCTCAGCCACGCGCAGAGGGGGTGGGGGGAGGGGGGGGGGTCTTTCCTTAGAAGCACCTGGCTTCTTAGAAAGGCGCGGCCTTCTCTATAGATGTGAGGCCGGCGCCTTCTAAGAAGCAGCCTCCTTCTAAGAAGCCCTCCCCCCTTCCCCCACCCCCTTGTGCGCGCCGCCAAGAATCAGTGGCTGTCCGCTCCAGCGTGTGGCTATTCGGGGCCACCGAGCGGCGAAGCGTCCGAGACGCCGCCGCGACGCTCGGCGGGTGCCTGCACGGCGCCCGGCTCCGTGGAAGCGCTGCGGCGCCAGGGCCTCGGGGGAATTGCGCCTGCTGCGTCCCCGAGGCCCCCCGGGTTCTGAACGATAGGGCCACTTGTGCTCCTGAGGGGGTGGCGCGAGGGGGAGAGGGGGAGAGGGGGAGAGGGGAGGGGAGGGAGGAGGAGGAGGAGGAGAGGAGAGCGGAGGAGGAGGAGGGAGGGGGAGGAGGAGGAGGAAGGAGGGGGGAGTAGGGGAGGAGGAGGAGGAGGGGAGGAGGAGGAGGAGGGGAGGGGGAGGAGGAGAGGAGTGGATGGGAGGGGGAGGGGAGGAGGATGAGAGGAGGAGGAGGAGGAGGAGGGGGAGGAGGAGGAGGAGGAGGAGGAGGGGGACTAGCCGAGGGGGGCCTCGGCGCGCCTGTGCGCCCCGAGGCAGGACCTGCACTTCACCATCTTCCGGGCCCGGAAGTCCGCGAGCGTGCACGCGCCGGGCCCGGGGCGCCGTGTAAAACGACGCGAAGATTGGGACAAAATCGGATCGGGATAACTCGAAATCTCTGAGAATCGGCGGGCTTGGAGGATGTATTGGGCGCCGCGGCCGCTCCAGAGCGTTCTGGAACGCTCTGAGAGCGCTCCGGAACGCTCTGGAGCGATTTATCCCGATCCTAGCCCTGTTTTAGCTCCCCCCGGAGGGCCAGGCCATGGCGCGTCGCAGGCGGTGCGCGCCGGGCGCCGCTGCCCAATCTCGTTGGGCTCGGGCCGGGCGAAAGGGGGGGATTGGGGAAGGGGGTGTTACGAAATCTGCTGCATGCAGCTGGTTTCGGCCTCACCGAGGGGCCCATTCCTCGATACATAGCCGCCTCTGGCGCCGGGAGGCGCCAGGAAAATCAGCTACGTGAGCTGATTCTCAAACCCCCCCTTTGCTATCCCTCCCTTTCGCCCGACCCGATGGGCCCCTCGAGGCCGGCAGAGGTCGAGCGGGCTCGAGACGTGCAGCAGGAAGAGGGGGCCTCTCTATCTCTCTAGGGCCCTCTGGTCGTGCTGCCTGGCGATGTTGGGCCTGTCTCGTTTCCCTCGACGTTGGATCCCAGGGCCCGCTCGGTGCCGCCCCCTCTCCCGGGGGGGGGGCCTGGCAGCGCACCCGGACCTCTGACGATCTCGTGTTTCGGGTTGGCCCTGATTCTGCGGCCCCCGCTGGCCGCTCCTCGTACCCGGGGCCGTCAAGCATTCACCCGCGGCGAAGCACTGCCCACATGGGAGGCGTGCGCGCGCGGGCCGGCCCCGCTGGCACCCGCCCGTGGACCGGGCAGGCTCGCGTCGTGGGGCGCGAGAGTTTCTGTTGGCTCGGCGGGGTGGTGATGGGGGGTGGCTTATAAGTAAACGGGGGGTGAAGCAAGGAACCCCGAAAGGGCCCCGTTCGGGCACCTTTTGGGCCCCTTGCTCTAAAGGGAGCTCCGGAGGGCCCCCTCTCGACCCCCCATTTAGGTCACCCCTCGTTGCCACCCGCCCGGTGGAAGGGGATGTGAATCCAGACGGACAAGGCGATCGTGGTCAAGTTTGGAGCCTTTTCGGCCCCCAGGGGTCCTCGCCGGGCCCCCGTGTCGTCGGCGTCGTCGTCGTCGTCGTCGTCGCCGTCGTCGTCGTCGTCGTCGTCGTCGTCGTCGTCGTCGTCGTCGTCGTCGTCGCCGTCGTCGTCGTCGTCGTCGTCGTCAGGACTGAGGCGCGGCGCACATTTTTCGACGAGATGATTTCTTCAGTCTGGGCGTCTTCCTCGATGTCGGTCCTCTGCCTCCTTCCTCCTCATCTTCTCGTCCTTCTTCCTCCTTGTCCTTCTTCCTCGTTGTCCTCCCCCTCGCCCTCCTTCCCGCTTTTGCCGTGCATCCCCCTCCTCTCTTTCCCGGCCATCTCCAGACCTTTGAGGCCTGAACTTCTGCGCCGCCGCGCGCCCGGAAGTGGCGCAGCGCTTCGACGCCGACCTCGGCTCTTTCCCACCCGTCCCAGGACCGGCTCGCCTCCTGCAGCGATCACGACGGACGGCTTTCCGCTGGCCTCGGCCTCCGCCGGGCCTCGCCGGGCCCTAGGGCTGGCAAGCGACGGCTCGGGATGACGAGCTGGTCCCGGGGAAGGGGTCCAGACGGTAGGGGGGAACAGTTACTGAACTCTCCGCCCCAACCCCCAAACTCCATGTTGGCACGCGCGGGGGAGACTGCGGTCGAAGTGCATCTCATCAGACCCACCGCCAACTTTGAACATTGGGGGGGGGGGAGGCGTTGACGGAGGAATGCGGAAGGAGTGTTCGCTCATTTGTTCCGAGGCCTGGATTTGGGCCGGGCGAAAGGGGGGGATTGGGAAAGGGGGGGTTACGAAATTTGCTGCATACAGCTGGTTTCGGCCTCACCGAGGGGCCCATTCCTTGATACATGGCCGCCTCCGGCGCCGGGAGGCGCCGGGAAAATCAGCTACGTGAGCTGATTCTCAACCCCTCCCTTTGCTATCCCCCCCTTTCGCCCGACCCGATGGATCTCGGTCGTCGCCGAGACCTGGCGCCAGAACTGGCAGACCGGGGGGCCTCGGCCGGGCCGCACGGGTGCGGTCGCGGGGGCTTCGGGCGCGCTGCGCGAGGGGGGCGCGCGCCGTGGCGCACTCATCACCAGACGTTAGGGGAGGGAAGGGGAGCTGCAGCCTCGTTCATCGTCGGGCTCTGGGGTGAGCGGGGTGCAGGTCTGTTCTTGATGCATGGCCTGCGCCGCGCGGGAGAGATGCTGTTGCGCAGCCAGCGCGCGTGTATTTTTTAATCCCATGTATTCCTGCGCGCGCGACGGGACTTGGGTTTCCTACTCTGCGATCTTTTTTGTTCCTGGAATTGTTCCCTTGGTCTCCTCCTCCGTCTCCTCCGTCTCCTCTTCCTCCCCCTCCTCTTCCCTCGTTCTACGAGCCGCTGCTTGCACACAACACGTTTCTGGAAGTATCCAGGACCGTATACGCGCAGAAACAGTAGCATTCGATGGGGCTTCCTGGGAAGCCGTTGCTTTGCTCAGTCTGAAGATTCTTGTGCTGTGGCACAAACAAGGAAACAAGACAGTAGGAGGATATATTCGTTGTTGTTGTTGTTGTTGTTGTTGTTGTCGTCGTCGTCGTCGTCGTCGTCGTCGTCGTTGTTGTTGTTGGTGTTGTTGTTGTTGTTGATGTTGATGTTGCTGTTGTTGTTGCTGTTGTTGTTGTTAATGTTGTTGAATGTCAATTAGGAAACAATTATTATTGTTGGACCCCCCCAGGCGCTTTGGCGCTCTCGCCTCGGCGCCAGCTACATTGTCATTGAAAATGAGTCTTACGCTCGAGCGGTTTTGGGAGCGCCAAAACGGCCCCCCCAACAGCAACAACGCTCCTGTTCGAGACTTACTCCTTTTTTACTCAGGGCCGGTGCTCCTGCTGGCCGCTGAAAGCCGCCGTCCCAACAAAACCAGCGCCACCGCTCGATAATTCCTCCCGTTTTACCTTGGACTGGCGCGCTACTCTTTCTCTCATCGTCGCCGCCCCCAGCAACAACAACGCTCCCGCTCGAGACTTCCTCCCTTTTTTACTCAAGGCGGTGCTCCTCCTCGCCGCCGAAAACCGCCGCCCCGACAAAACCAGCGCTCGCGCCCGAGACTTCCTCCCGTTTTACGCTGGACTGGCGCCCTACTCTCGTTTGAAGTGGCGCCGCTCCCAGCAAGAACAACGCTCGCGCTCGAGGCTTCCTTTTTTGTTTTTTGTTTTTCCTCAGGACGGTGCTGTTCCTCGCCGCCGACAGCCGCCCTCTCAACAAAGCAGCGCTCCCGCTCGAGACTTCGTTTCGTTGTACGCTTGACTAGCGACCTTACTCTCCTCAGCATTGGCGCCGCTCCCAGCAACAACAGCGGCACTGCTCGAGACTTCCTCCCTGTCTCTTCAGGGCCAGGTCCTTGCCTCGCGTCCGACAGCCGACAACCCCACCAAGGCAGTCCTGTCGCTCGGCTCTTCCTTGTGCTTTACCCTTGGCTGGGGCTCCACTGGCGGTCTCGCATCGGCCCAGCAAGGCGCGGGCATGCGTTTTCGTGGCGGAATATGTTGCGATTCCTCGGAGAAGGTATTGCAAGACCTCATTGGGCGGGAGATCTAGGGATGGGAACAACGGACCCCGCTATAGAACAATACCCCCCCCCATGATGAGGATGGTTATCATGATGGTCGCATGCTTCGTGTGGAGACATCGCGCATGAGGGTAATGGTGTTGTTGGTGGTGTAGTTGTTTTTGTTGCTGCTGTTGCTGTTGGTGTTGTTGATGCTGTTGTTGTTGTTGTTGTTGTTGTTGTTGTGGGTTGTTGCTGTTGTTGCTGTTGCTGGTGCTTTTGCTGTTGCTTGTGTGTTGCTTGTGTGTTGTTGTTGTTGTTGTTGTTGTTGGTGGTAGTGGTGGTGTTTTTGCTGTTGGTGTTGTTGCTGCTGTTGTTATTGTTATGGTTGTTGGTGTTGTTGTTGCTGCTGCTGTTGTTATTGTTGTTGTTGGTGGTGGTGTTGTTGTTGATGTTGTTGGTGTTGTTGTTGCTGTTGTTGTTGTTGTTGTTGTTGTTGTTGTTGTTGTTGCTGTTGTTGTTGTTGGTGGTGGTGGTGGTGTTTTTGCTGTTGGTGTTGTTGCTGCTGTTGTTATTGTTATGGTTGTTGGTGTTGTTGTTGCTGCTGCTGTTGTTATTGTTGTTGTTGTTGGTGGTGTTGTTGTTGATGTTGTTGGTGTTGTTGTTGCTGTTGTTGTTGTTTTTGTTGTTGTTGTTGTTGTTGTTGTGGTGGTTGTTGTTGTTGTTGTTGTTGTTGTTGTTGTTGAATATTCGCTTCTGGAGAATACGTATTGTGAATCTGCGGAAATGGTTCCGCGCGCTCCCGCTTCGACGCCAGCTACATTTTCTCTGAAAACGAGGCTCCCGCGCGAGCGTTGGCTTAAGTGTAAATGTGGGCCCTTGGAGGCCCGGCTACGACGACAACGGCTCCCGCTCGATACTTGCTCACAATTTACCCCGAGACACCCTGGCCAGAGAGGCCCCCGAACTCAGAAACGGCGCTCTCGCTCGAGACTTCCCCAGTCAAGTTAGTGGAGACCCAGCCACGACGACAAGGGCTCCTGCTCGATACTATTTCACGATTTACTCCGAGAGCCCCTGGCCAGGAAGGCCCCCGAACTCAGGAACCAAGTGCGACGACAAGGGCTCTCGTTCGATACTTCTTCAAGGTGCATTCACAGAGGCCTTGCGAGAGAGGCCCCAGAACTCAAGAGTGGCGCTGTCGCTCCATACTTTCTCGTAATTCAGGCAAGTTGGTGAAGGCCCAGACACGGCGTCAAGGGTCCCCGTTCGATATTTCTCCACATGTATTCCGAGAGCCCCTGGCCAGAGAGGCCGCCAAACTCAGGAACGCCGCTCTCGCTCGAGAGATCCTCGCACTTCAGTCAGTGGCCGACGAGCAAGATATTCCCCTCGAAAGGGGGTGCAATAGAAGACAAAGTGGGCCCGTATCGAGGGTTGGGGTATACAGAAGGCAAGACGCGCGTGCCAGGAAGAGCGATCAGTCTTAACATGATTGTTGTTGTTGTCGTCGTCGTTGTCGCTGTCGTTGTTGTGGTTGTTGTTGTAAATGATGGTGTGGTTGTTGTTGTGATGTTGGTTGTTTGGGTTGTTGCTGTTGTTGTTAATGGTGTACTTGTTGTTGTTGCTGCTGGTGTTGCTGTTGCTGTTGCTGCTGCTGTTGCTGTTGTTGTTGTTGTGGTTGTTGTTGTTGTTGTTGGCATGTGTTATGTTGGTTGTTGCTGTTACTGTTGTGGTTGTCGTTGTTTCTGTTGTTGCTATTGGTGTAGTTGAGGTTGTTGCTGTTGCTGCTGCTGTTTTTGGTTGTTGTTTCCGTTGATGAGGTTGTTGTCGTGGTTGTGGTTGTGGTTGTGGTTGTGGTTGTGGTTGTGCTTGTGCTTGTGGTTGTGGTGGTTGTTGTTGTTGTTGTTGTTGTTGTTGTTGTTGTTGTTGTTGTTGTTGTGTTTCGTTGCCGTTATTGCTGCTGCTGCTGTTGTTGTTGCTTTGTACAAGTGGCTCACGTGGTGAGCATGCGACTTTCACGGATGCTCCTCCTTGTTTTTTCTTCTTCTTCCATGTCTTCCCTTCCCAAGTGGCTCTGACACGCTTCGGCGCTTCGGGGCTGGTTCGGACCGCCCCACTCTGTGCTCCAGGCTTCCGCGTGCAGCTCGTAGACGACTGCTGAGTGGGTCGGCACCGATTGCCAACCCGAATTGCCGTCGGTCCGAATAGCCTCTGCGGCGAGCCCTGGGGGGGCAGCGCGAGGGGGTGGGCCTTCTCCGAAGGCGGCGGGGCTTTGTCAGAAGCCCCCGCGCCTTCTGAGAAGTTTCCTGTGTCGTTGGAGGAGGCTTCGAAGACTTCTCAGAAGATGCGATGGTCTCTGAGGAGCCCCGATGCCTTCGGAAAAGGCCTGCCCCCCCTAACCTCCCCCCTCGGCTCTCCGCCGTAGGCCACCATCGATCCCAAGGTCGGGTCCAGATCGGTCGAAGACGGCTCTCGGGGCAACCGAGGCTGCTCCAAGACGGCCCCAGAGATTGCCAAGAGAGTCCCAAGACGGCCCAAGAGGGCCCAAGGACGGCCACAGAAAGTCGCAAGACGCCTTTAAGGGGAACCCAAGCGGGGCCCAAGAGGCCCCCAAGAAAGTCCCAAGTGCCACGTGTGCCGTCGGAGGCCCCCAAGTAGGCCGAAGAGAACCCCAAGAGGGCCCCAAGACGGGCCAAGCCCTCCGAGACGGCCCAAAAGGTTCCGAGAATGGCCTGATGACGCAGCTTGGACGCCAAGGCTCCCAAGAGCACCAGGTGAGCAGAAAGCCCTTTGCAAACGAGTCGGCGACGTACACATTTTTGAACGCCACGGATCCCAAGAGCGAGCAGTGGGTCAGAAAGTTCCGAATGTCCATGTCTCCCATAGCGAACGGTGACGTAAACAGCTTTTAACGCGAAGGATCCAAAGAGCGGGCGGTGACGCAGCAAGCTCTCATTGCCAGGACTTTCAAGGACCAACGGGGACGTGAACACCTCTGAACGCCATGGCTCCCAAGAGCAAACAGTTACGTACACAACTCTTCACACCACGGCTCCCAAGACCGATCGGTGACGTGAAAAAGCTCTGAAGACCAAGGCCCCCCACGAGCGAACAGTGCCATGAGCCCTCTCGTGCGAGTTCTTCAAGCGCTCCGTCCGGTTCCCGGCCCAGGTTCTACAAAGCCCACATCCTTCCTCAGGTGTAGAGCATTTTTTTCTGCAGTTTGGGTAATCCTCAACATCCTCATCATCGTCATCACCATCATCAAAAACATCCCCATGAGCATCATCATCATCATCATCATCATCATCATCATCATCATCATTATCATCATCAGTATCACGACCACTATCATCCTTATAATCACCATCGCCATCATCACTATCAGCTTCATCATCATTATTATTATTATCAACATCATGATCAGTATGTCGCTCATCACCATCATCTCTATCATCAGCGGTTCAGAACAACATCCGGTCTATTTGTTAGGTTCCATTGTCTGTAATGGTTATCTGACCGCTCGCCGCTG